GGCCATCCCCGGCACTCGCCAAGTCATCTTCCTCCTCCTGCTTGAATACCTCTACACGGACCTGGTGCCGTCCGACACTATGCTTCCCGAGACGGTACCCTCCCTGGCTCCCTCCTTCCTCCTTCCCTCCCTCCTTCCTTCCTCCCTCCCCCCGTTTCTGTTTCCTCTCTCGCTCCATGCTGGAACCGGGGAATGCAAGCTCAGCCTCCTCCTGCCCTCCTCCCCTCCTTGTTCCCGACAGGCCATCGAGCTCTTCATCGCCGCGGACATGTACGGGGTGGAACGGCTCAAGCGGGCCTGCGAAAACGTCTTTCAAACCGGGCTCAATATCGAGAACGCGGCCACGCTCCTCCAAACCGCGGAGAATTTCAAGTAAGAATGCATACATATTTGTGTTTACCACATGTCCACACACACACATATACATATATAATGATACACCCTTGTTTTTTTGTCGACTTTGCTTTTGATGCGTCACGGGTGGAGTGAGGATCTCGGTCGGGACGAGGGCAGGGACGGGATGCTGGCTTTTCCGACGCTTTCAAGTTCAACGCGTCACTTATTTCGGGGAGGGGCGTATGGATGATTCGCATGGCACTGAATGGAAGGCCTCTGTTACCTCGACCTGTCCTCCCATTCATGTGCCACCGCCCCCCTCCCCTGCCTCCTTCCCTCCCTTCTTCCCTCCCTCCCTCCCTGTCTTCCAGCGCCAGGGCACTGAAAGACATCTGCCTGTCCTTCATCGTCCGGCATTTCGATCAGGCCACAAAGACGGAGGCCTTTGCCGGCTTGTCCCGGGAGCTCATCCTCGAGGTGCTCCAGAGCAGGTAGTCCCTGCCTGTCTAACCTCCTTTCGCCCTCCCCCCTCCCGCCCATGTCGAGAAAAGACGGGACCTTTGGAAATGCCAAGACAGCATTCAGGGTGCAAGGGCGGTGTCTAGTGATGGCTTGCTGGCGATGCCCCATCATATCAAGGGGGGGAAGGCGGAGAGGAGGGGCAAGGGGTTGAAGGAAGGAAGGGATCGGGGGCTATCCGGTTTAATGCCGGGAAGGAATAGGGTTTGTCCACGACACTCATGTTCATAACGGTCTATTTCAAAGCAATAATGCATATGTCTTTCTGGGAGGGACGAGAAAGAGGGCGCATCCAGGCGAGTACATCCTTGTGGCTCTTCTCCCCTGGGTGCCGACCTCGTATAACTCGCACAGCATGGGAAATCGTCCGCGTTCACGGCTTCCTTTTGTCTTTCCTCACTTTGTTATATAGCTATGTATCACGTATATGTGCATCTGAGTTCCAAGG